TGGACCCATGGTGGATCTGGCAGTTCGGGGCGCCATGGCGGAGCAGGCAGACTAGGAGGCCATGGCAGAGCAGAGAACTCAGGCGGCCATGGCGGATCAGGGGACTCGGGGATCCATGGTGGATCTGGCAGCCCAGGAGGCCACGGTGGAGCAGGTAGTTCGGAGCAAAACACACACAAAACACGGAACAAAGTCTGACACAGAGCCAGTGGTGGTTTTGTAGGCAAACATTAATGCCTTGAATTTTATGCGAGTAGCTACTGTATATTACATAATAATATTCATAATGAAGTCATCTAGGTAATCTTGACTGCAGTGGATAAGTGAAATGCAAGATGAAGGCAGTTGTGCTTGAATAAAAATGCGGAGGACGAGTCATATTTTACAAGGTGGTGATTTTGTACAATGTGATTTTTATAGAAACGTATGAAAAAGAACGTAGGGAAAAAAAATAAGCAAGAAGGTCCATTAAAAACATCAAAATCAGAGTACAGAAACGAATGAGACTGTACGAATTTGTACAAATTAGTCACAATTCACCAAAACGTATAATAGTTATGAACTTCCACAAAAGTGTGTTGACCAATTTCAGTTACTGAAATATAGCTTTGTCATGGATGACGGCAAATATGAGAAAATATCTTTCTGCTGAATATTGTGATTGACCAATCAGAATCACATATTTTAGAGTCCTGTTACAAGTTTTGCCTATTGTTCTACTGTAGACCAAAAACAGATTTGTTACGTCTCTGATTTTTATATTTACAGTATGTATTTTAAACAGTTATGTATGTGTATTTTAAGCTGCTTAGCAGTAGTAGTCCCGTTATCCCTGAAGTGTGGTTTAAGCAAACCGCATGTACTTTTTAGAGCTACCACACTTTGATAAGATCAGAACTTTGACGAGCCTGTTAATTGAAATGTACATGCAGATGCTGAAGGGCATTAGTTTGGGATTAAACTGCTGTCCCTTTGATGACGGAATCAGTGCTTATTGATACCAGCAGAAGTGAGCTTGAAGTGCGGGTCAGCATGTTCTGGCTTCCTGCGCCCTGTCACACACTGATGCCATCTAACTCCAAGTCTCAGTGTCATTATCTGCACATGGCAGAGGGGATTAGAAAAATTGGATTTCTGATCCCCCCTTCCTATGATACAGTTAAGTGATTATTGTTCAAAAAAATTACAAATGATTATGCTAATGATGAATAAATTATTATCTCCCCAACATGCAGCTCTGAGTGATCTGGCTTCTCCCCGACCAGGAAGATAAGAGTTTATGAGGGGAAGGGGGCCTTTGCAATGCGTGTCTAATATAGACGGACTGCTGTGGCCATCAAAGTATTTCTCAGGGCTTTGTTTAAAAGTCATCTGTTCCTGCATAATCAGAAGCTCTTTGATTGTCTCCTCCGCTGAAGGGAGGGGATCAGACGTGATCTTGTTATGTGTGTTAGTGTCTAATATGCCTCACTATGGAGGGGCAGAGATTGTGTAGTGTAGGTCTTGGTTTGGTGTTAGTTTATCCAGAAATTTGTCACAGCAAATGTGCTTGATAGAGAGAGGGTCACCCAAAGTGTAAATAGTGGTATCTCCATTTTGATTGCTTTTCCAGGTGAGCGGTTAGATTATTGCTCCTGCGAATCTCTTGAAGAGAACCTGAAATCAGTGCAATTTGATTTTATCAGTCTGCAGGGGGCTGAGCTTGAGGAAAATGTAAGTATATGAACATTTGCATTTAAGGCTGTTTTCAAACTTGGTTCAATTGCTGGGTCACATGTCAATTTTCAAATTGTACTTATTTTTGGTAAAGTTTTACCAACTGCAGTACAATTACATACTACCACCTTGACAAAAAATAAATATATACATAAAATAGGCTAATAATAATAAATATATTATTGTATTATATTTTATTTAATATACTGTATTACAATGTAGGAATGCAAGTAATGACTTGGTTCGATGATTCCAATGGACCCTTTTCCCTTTCTAGCCGGCACATGACTGACCTTCAACGTTGAAATATGGTTGAAATAAGGTCAGTTATTGTTTCAACCTTGAAACAACACTGACACAACGTTTAATGCTGAACGGTTGAAAACTATAGTTTTCCACCAAAATAAAAGATCAAATGGTTTCAGTCCATAAAGTACAAGGGTTTCTCTCGCAAGTGCAGCGCAAAATATGCATGTTATTGTACAAAAACTTTGAGTCTTTAAATATTGTATTTGGATTGGTTTTTTTTGGATTGGTTTTTAACAATACATCCAAGCACAAACACTGCAAGCTAAAGTTTAGAGATTATTTTCATCTGTTTTATACAGTATGTTTCCAAAATAAAACTGCTGTTTTACAATTTTGAGCATGTGGTAGTTTATTGAAGTTGATTGTAAAAGCCATAGCTGCCAGTTCTACAGGTTTTTAACAATACACCCTTACGAAAAAGAAGTGTATTCAAGTGTGTAGGGGCGTGTTTGTTTTGGTGATTTCAAATGTCAACATTGGCTACCAGAAATCGCTTACCCCACCTTTAAATATTATTGTATTTGGACTGCAAGCTAAAGTTTTGGATTATTTTCATCTGTTTTATACAGTATGTTTCCAAAATAAAACTGCTGTTTTACAATTTTGAGCATGTGGTAGTTTATTGAAGTTGATTGTAAAAGCCATAGCTGCCAGTTCTACAGGTTTTTAACAATACACCCTTACGAAAAAGAAGTGTATTCAAGTGTGCTATTAGTATACTTCTTTTAAACTAAAAATAGGAAAGTATACTTTTAGTCTACTTTTTATGTACT